TTCGATTATCACCAACAGTTACTGTTTCGTCTTCTACGAAACTGTACTTCGGTGGAAGCGCTGGCAAAAAATACGTCCTGTTACCGCAGCAGTAGTAGCGGCAACAGCAGTAGCAGTAGCCGCAACTGTAGCAGCAGTAGCAGTAGCCGCAATAGTAGCAGTAACAGTAACAGTAACAGTAACAATAGCAGTAACAATAGCAGTAGCGGTACCAACAATAGCAATATCAGGAGTTGTAGGCGATAATTCGGCGATGATAATTCAGTTGAGGACGTTATAGTAGCAACTAGAAATCAAAAAAAAAAAAATATAACCAGTAAAAAAACGCAGCAAAGACAAAACTGAATGACTAACGAGTGACCACCAGAATCAATGAATGTGCATCAGCAGGATGATGGTCATCTGGCTAACTTTCCTCCCCTCCCAATCGTTCCGCCCTGTCCGTCGCAACTCCACCGTTAATATAAAAAACAATTACTTGAGGACATGAGCTAGAGCTTGTGCTATAAATATGGAATTCCGCCCAAATACGCTGGGAGGATTGCTGGTGCCCCCTCCCCTTCCCCCGCCTTCTCTCACTTCATCATGGCTCAGCACGCCAAAGAAACATAAGTAGATGCTACGCCAGGTTCAGCAGCAGGAGTAGCGATGACCCTATAACTGCGCAAGTTCGCACCTCATCAGTGGACCTCGCCCCTCTAGACTTTCCCTCACTTTTGCTCCTCAGACTCGCCCTCATCCTTATCCCCAAAAATTCCTTCCCTTTGCACCTGCACCACAAACTCACCCTCAAGTACCTGATCGATTGAATTACAAAAAAGCTCATGACCTGTCCAGGGCACTCTAAATATGCCATATGTTCAATAATGAAGCATGTGAATTACGTGCACACACACACTCATACACGCGTATATATTCATACACACACATACACGAACGCATGCGTATATGCACACATACGCACATAAACGCGTACATACGTACACAAACGTATACACACGTACAAACACAC